GGGGTCAGCTTGTGAGTGCTGAGTACCCAGTCCTCTCAGACGTGCTCTGTTAGTGGGTGTGAGTGTCTGTGTGTGTTGCCAAGGTGGTAAGAACCCCATCCTGAGGAACCTAGTTCCTGCAGGAGAGCTCCAGTGGGAGGGGGAATTGGCAGCAGGGAGAATTCAGCTCCATATGAGCGCCCAAGTAGGCACCAACAGCACACTGATAGAACTGTTAACCTTCCCCCAGTCCCATAAGGGTAACCCTGATAAATGAGCATACCCCAGAGTATTGGGCAAATCTGGTAACACAATCTATACATATTTAAAAGATTTGTACATCTGTCTATTTGTTCAAGAACTCTTAAGTGGTAAGAGCAAAGACCAGAAATTGTGGAATGCAGTTTCCTCTTAAAGCAAGGCAAGGGTTTGGTTTTGCCAGGACAATTGGAAGTGCTGGGAAAGGAACTGTTTTCCATACCATGGAAAGGAAGGGGCTGTTTGGAGGGATGAAATATTGAGTGCCCACTAGGGGCAGTGAGCCCACAAGGGAGAGGTATCCTGCAGAGTATCCACTGGAGACAGCTGTACTACCAAGGGAGTGGCCAGCAGATATGGGGATCCGCCATCTTGCCTTCCAGCAGACTGGTAAGCAGCCTTCCCGCCCCAAAGCCTTTTTCTCTCTATCTCAGCCCTTGGCCACAGCACCAGGAGGGGTGGGTGGTGGGGTTGGGGGGTGAGAAAAGGCTGTTGGTGTCCAGGATCTCCTGCCCTGATCCCCTTCTCACCTCTCAACCCTCACACTCAGACCCCTTCAGCTCCCAGCCTCCTGCACTGCCCCCTCCCCCAACTACCAAGGCCATTTTGACTCCTGCCCTGAAGGACCCTGGCAATGCCAGATAAGTCTTCTAGTACATAGATAAAGAGCAAGTTGCTCATTTTTATGAAACAATCTCTCCCATCCTCCTTCAGCACGCATGTCTGAAAACACTACCACCTGTATTCACTAGGGATGTAATCGT